GCTGGGCGGAGGCGGCCGCCCGTGTGCGGGAGCACGAGGGTGCCCGGCCGCCGCCGCGGGAGCTGGGGCGGGTGTCCCGCAGCCGCTGTGGCCACTTCGTGGAGGTGGCCCGGGAGCTGGGCAGCGGGGACACGCTGAAGGTGCAGCTCAGCGCCGCGCTGCACCGGGGGATCCTGGCGCCGACCCTGCAGCTGTGGCTGGTGGCCCCAGGCTTCAGCCTGTGCCTGGAGCACGTGGAGAGAGCGGGCGACTGCTTCTCGGGCCACGTGCCGCAGGCCTGGCGGGACCGCAGCCGCAGCCTGGAGGACTACTGCCTCCTGTGGGAGCCGTTCTGCTCCCTGGAGTCGGCCACCAGCGCCGTGGCCGAGGGCGACGCCATCACGCTGCAGCACGTGCGCATCGCCTGGGACAGGGAGCGGACGGGGCAGGGGCAGCTCCAGGGCAGCTTCCGCCTGGAGGCCGCCTTCCTCCGGGAGCACAGCATCGACATCAGCTTCGGGCACTGCTACCTCTGCATCCGGCTTGAGGGGCTCCGGGCACCCGATGCCGGGGTGCCGGCCCCCGAAGCCAGCCCTGGCCAGCTGGGCCCCACCCTGAGCATCGACCCGGACACCTACACCTGGGTGGCCCACGGGCTGACGGAGGACTGGGACATAAACCCAGAGGGCCGGGCCGACCGGCAAGAGGCTGACAAGCAGGTGCACTTCTTCATCCACCACATGGCTATGGAGAAGGTTCCGGAAGAGGTGCTGCGGCCCGGCGCCCCCTTCACCATTGAGGTGCTACCAAAGCAGCTGCCTGACCTGTGAGTGGCTTCCCCGGGGCCAGAGGCCAGGAGAGGCCGGTGGGCGGGAGGGGTGACCCTCCTTGGACTTCCTCTTCTGGGAGAGGGGCTGTGGGGCCCAGGTCCCCCCGGGAGAAGCCAGTTGAAGCTCCAGTGTCCGTCTCCGCCCCACATGCCCCAGCCGCAAGGAGGAAGCTGTGCGTGGGCTGAAGAACGCATCCCAGCTGGTCATCAACATCGCCCTGGGCAACCCCATCCCCACCCCCCTGCCCCGCCACCCGCCCCGCCACCCGCCCCGGCACCTTCCTGGCCAGCAGCCCCGCCGCAGAGGTAGGTGGGGCCCCCGGCTTTCCTGCCCTTCCTTCCCCAGCCGCCCTGCACCGGAGCTCAGGGGCCTGGCTCCTCCCTCAGGAATCCCCAACAGGTTTGTGGAGCGACCGGCCTTTGACATCCCCGGAGGCCGCCACAAGCTGAACCCCAGCCAGAACGCGGCAGTCCGGGAGGCCCTGCAGAAGCAGTTCACCGTCATCCAGGGCCCACCAGGTGGGGCCCGCCCGGGGGGGGGAGCTGGGCCGCCCGTGGCGCTCGGCTCACCGCCCTCTGCCCACAGGCACCGGGAAGACCATGGTGGGCTTCCACATCGTGTTCTGGTTTTACAAGCTGAACGAGGAGCTGGACCCGGCCTGGAGCTCGCCCTGCCCCGAGAAGCAGCGGGGGCTCTACATCTTGTACTGTGGCCCCTCCAACAAGTCGGTGGACGTGGTGGCAGGTGCGCTGGGTGGGCCACGGGCTGTGCCGGGATGGCGGCCGGTCAGTCGCTCACGCCCGGACCGCCCCCAGGAATGCTCCTGAGCAGAAGGGCCGAGCTGAAGCCCCTCCGTGTGTACAGCGAGCAGGCGGAAGCCACCGAGTTCCCAGTGCCGGGCGTGAGCAGCCGGGGCCCGGCCAGGAAGACCCCTCGGGAGGGGAGGCCCAACCAGAGCCTCAGGTGCCGCCTCTCGGTGTCTGTCTGTCTGTCTGCCTCTGGTGGAGGGAGAGGCCCTCGCAGGCTCATGGTCCTGCCTTGGGCAGTGGGCAACACGGGGCTTCACGGGGTTCTCCCGCCAGGGCCATCACGCTGCACCACCGGATCCGGCAGTCCTCCAACCCCTTCGCGCCCTCCATCAAGGCCTTTGACGCCCAGCTGCAGAGGGGGGAGGTGCTCTCCGAGGAGGACCTCGCCAGGTAAGCAGCGGGGCGGTGGAGTGGTCTCCTGGCGTGGGCCCCGGGTGACCGGCAGCGTCCCCCGCAGGTATAAGAAGATCCTGGGGAGGGCGAAGAAGTTCGAGCTGGACCGCCACCGCGTCATCCTCTGCACCTGCTCATGCGCGGCCTCGGCCAGCCTCAAGAACCTGAACGTCCGGCAGATCTTGGTGGACGAGGCAGGCATGGCCACGGAGCCCGAGACCCTCATCCCCCTGGTGAGCTTCTCCCACACCGAGAAGGTGAGCCGCGGGGATGCAGATGGGGTGCGGGAGGAGGGCAGTGAGGCGGGTAGCCTCGGACGCGCTGCTGCCTCTGGGTCGGGGTCAGAACTGCCCCCGTCCTCCAGGTGGTGCTTCTCGGGGACCACAAGCAGCTGCGGCCCGTGGTCAAGAACGAGCAGCTGCTAAGCCTGGGGCTGGACCGGTCTCTCTTCGAGAGGTACTACAGGGACGCCTGCCTGCTGGACACGCAGTACCGCATGGTGAGCCGTCGCGCCTGCGTCCCCCTCGCCCACCCTGCATCCACGGCCTTCTCCTGGGACCCAGGGAGGCGCGGCAGTCTGTCCCTGGCTCACGTTCTTCCCGCAGCACGAGGGCATCTGCAGCTTCCCTTCCATGGAGTTCTACCAGAAGAGGCTGAAGACCTGGCCGGACCTGCAGCGGCCGCCCAGCGTGCTGGGCCACGCCGACAAGGAGAGCTGCCCTGTCATCTTTGGCCACGTGCAGGGCCACGAGCAGAGCCTGTTGGTGTCCACGGATGAAGGGAACGAGAACTCCAAGGCCAACCTGGAGGAGGTGGCCGAGGTGGTGAGTGTCAGGCGATGCCCCTTGGTCAGGAGGGCTTCCTGGAGGAGGAGGCAGAGGAGCTGAGGAGACAGGCGGGGCCCGGGGCCTGGGGCCCGGGGGGAGGCACCAGCCTGCTCCACTGGCACCCTCGGTCCTCCAGGTTCGCATCGCCAAGCAGCTGACCCTGGGCGGCACAGTGAGCCCCAAGGACATTGCCATCCTCACGCCCTACAACGCGCAGGCTGCCGAGATCAGCAAGGGCCTCCAGCGTCAGGGTGTCACCGGCGTGGCCGTGTGCTCCATCACCAAGAGCCAGGGTGAGGCTGGGCGGCCTGGGCAGGGCTCCTGGGCCTCCGGGCAGGACGTGGCCTCACTGTGCCCTCCCCAGGGAGCGAGTGGCGCTACGTGCTGGTGAGCACCGTGCGCTCCTGCCCGGAGAGCGACGTGGACCAGCGGCCGACCAAGAGCTGGCTGAAGCGGTTCCTGGGCTTCGTCGTGGACCCCAACCAAGTGAACGTGGCCCTCACCCGGGCCCAGGAGGGGCTCTGCCTCATCGGTGAGAGCCGCGGGGGGCTGGGTGCTGGGCGTGGCTGCTGCCGGGGGCCCGGGCTGACTCCGCCCTCTCGCAGGAGACCACCTCCTGCTGCGATGCTGCCCTCTGTGGCGCAGACTCCTGGACTTCTGTGAGGCCCAGCGGAGCCTGGTCCCCGCCGGCCAGGTGCGGGTCCGGAGGAGGCCAGCAGCGCTTGTCTGAGGGGCCCACCCAGCCGTCCACCGCCCTCAAGCTGGCCAGCCAGCCAGGAAAAGGCCAAGCCCTCCCCGCCGGCTGCCTTGGCCCGCTCCGCGGAATCCCACGTGCCTTCTTCAGGAGCCATGGCCGCTCGGCCTGGCCCCCGCCCCTGGCTGGGCGTGGTTGCAGCGTCCCGCGTGGCGCGCACGTCAGCACCTTCCGGAGTCTGGCCTTGTCCCGGGGCAGCATGGACTCCAGGGGAAAGAGGCGGTCCGGGCTCTTGCTCCCGGGGGTTGACCTGCATCTGCTGCTACTGTGGTGCCGGTGTGGGGCCCCCGGGAAGGTCTGGGGCCCAGAAGGCGATGCCAGCTCTTTGGTCTGTGGAAGCCACACGGGCGGCCATGGAGCTCAGCTTTATTTTCTACTTTTAAATCAACCCAAACTCAGGGCGGAGAGGCTTCCCTGCACCCACAGCCCTCCCTGAGGCCATCTCCCCTGGACCTCCCTCCCACAGCAGTGCTCCCAAGGGCTGTGGGCGGGGCTGCCATCGAGGTTCCTGGGAAGCTCCCCCCCCTACTCCCCCCACTCCACGTGGCCAGGTCAGGACAGCCTGCCTGCCCAGTATGTCCGGAGGGCTTTGAGTCCTGCCTTCTCTGGAAGCCTCTGTCCCCCACCAAACCCGCTCCAGGCAGCTCCGACCTGGGGCTCAGGGGCGATGGCCCCATGGGCTGGGCCTGCAAAGCATTGTGTGCCCGAGGAGGGCAGCCCCGTGGCCTTGCTGCAGGGCCCACAGGGATGGGTGTGTGTCTGTCCTGAAGTTTTCTACAAATCAAATCTCTACATTCCAATTTTGTATCTTTTCTTGGACTATTATATGATTGGACATTAATTTTGTTATAAAGGCCACTCTGCTTTCTCACCCCTGGGTGTTTTGAGGCCTGTCTGGGGGCACAGAGGGTAGTCCTTCCTCTTAGGTGGCAGAGGGGCTGGAGGCTGTCCAGCATGTGGCAGGTCCTGGTGGGCAGAACGCAGAGGATGCAGGTCCTCTGCCAGGACCAGGGAGCCGGAGGCCGGCGGGGCCGAGGCCACAGCGTGTGTTCAGGTGTGGCAGGTGCGCCCCGCCCTCTGAACTCTGGTCTCAGGCCCCACAGTCTAAGTCTGAAGTCCCCACAGCCTCAGGCGGGCCCTGTGCCGCCAGGACCTTGGGCAGCGCATGGCCCCTGGGGCCTGGCCTGGGCTGTTCATTCCCCTTTGTGTGGCTGAGCCCCAGCCTCCCGTAGAGCAGCTCAGGAAGAGGAAGGGGGCAGGCCTGGCCTCTTAGTTGTAGCGGGGGTGGTGGATAGGTCAGGAGGTCACAGAGAGACCGAGACACAGCAGGCCTCTGTGTGCGTGTGTTGGCTGTGAGTCCAAAGGGAGCCGTTGGCCACCTGGAAGAGCTGCTCCATGGGGCCACCAGCTGAGAAACTGACAGCATCTGTGAAAAGCGCTAAGGAGAGAGGAAAGTGCCTGAGGCAGGGAGTTAAGACCTCACCAACCTGGAGTCTGGGAGGGCTTCCAGGAGGAAGAGGCATTGAAACCCCAAGTGTGCTGCAGTAATCAGGGGGTTGGGGGCTGCGGGAGGCAACTACAGGGCAGAGCTGGGCTGGAGGCGAGTCGGGCACAGACCAGCATCCTGGCCTCAAAGGCTGCACTTAGTAGGTGCAGCAGAGCTGCTTACAGAGCAGGACCTGAGGCTCTGGGCGAGGGCGCCAGCAGGAGACGCAGAATGAGCCGGCGTGCCCTCTGCACCTCCCTTGGTGAACCCCACTCCAGCCGGGCCCTCTGTTGGACTGGTATGACTCAGCACAAACCCCAATCCCTGCCCGGGCCTGCTTTTACCCCTGCTTCTCTGTTTCTGAGGAGCTCGAGGCTTGGCCCTTTGACCCCTGCAGGACATGCAGGAGAGCAGGTCCCATAGCACGAGGCCAGAGCGCGGGGCACACAGTGGGGCAGGCCTGGGAGAGGAGCCCCCAGGCTGAATCCCTGCCTGCCTGGGAGCACCCTGTCCACGTGGGGAGTGGTGCTGGGGCTTTTCCGGCAGAGTTGGGGACCCCCTTCACCACTTCGTCAGTGGGAGAGGGGCTGTTTCTGATCATCCCTGATCACACGATTCTCTAAGGATCACCTGGTTGGTGTGCTGACCATCCTCCTCAGCCACTACCGGGGGAGCTGGTGTCCAAGCCGCAGGAGCAGGTGGGCACTGACGTCCACCTTACCTGTCAGAGTGAGGTGTGTACGGGGAGGGGCACTCCGGGCGCACGGGGTCACAGGACCACACTGCAGGGCAAGGGCAGACTATCAAGGCCACATCAGGGTGGTCCCCCACAGGGGGCTGGGCAGCAGGAGCTGGAGGGAGGGGCAGTGGCTGGAGGGAGGACCACACCCAAGAGTAGCTTATGCTGGCCTGTGTGTTGGGGGTGTCTCCTGCCAGGCGCCCTTTCCTGGGACCTCACCCACCTCAGGATGGGGTGCTGATGAACTTCAGCTCCATTTTGGGGAAAGATAAGACTTTTATTGTCATTTTAAAAATAAAATGTCCTTTTGGCCTCAGGCACTCTGATCCTGATAAAGCCAGGGAGAGAGTGATGGGCCCTGACGGCCCCTGAGGAGTCGGGCAGGACCTGGGGGACTGCCCCCCTGGAGAACCGGGCCTAAGAGGGAGGGGAGGCGTGGTCACGGGGAGGGGCTGGGGCTGGCGTGGCCGAGCCCTGGGGCAGCTGTCATGCTGGGGGTGGCATCCTGGTGCCAGGGCTGCGGGACCAGCCATCCAGGAAGGTCCAGCCTGAGCTCCCCCCCCCCCCCCAGACAGAGCAGGAGCTGCGGGGCCTGGGCCGAGTCAGGAAAAACACCATGGGCTGCCGCTGCCCGCAGGACGTAAGCAGTGTGCTTCTCCAGCTGTGTGTGCGTTATACTCCTCTTTATTAGTGGATAAATACTAGAAAACCATCTCTGGAAGCTGCGGTCAGGGGCAGCCCGGCTTGCCCAGCCGCCGGGGGCGAGGCCCTTCAGGCAGCCCCCGCCTGGTCTGCAGAGTGAGGCTGTCCCGCCAGGGCTCGTAGACCAGCGTGTAGCTCTCCGCCCTCTTGACGGTGAACTTGTAGACGCGGTTGGGCAGCAGGTTGTGGACGTTGAAGGTGCAGGCGGCCACGGGGATGATCCCGCGCTGCAGGTACTCCTGCTGTGTCCGTGGGTCCAGCAGCTTGAAGCGTAGCTCGAACTGCTCCGGCACCGCGGGCTGGATGGTGACGAACCAGCGCAGGGCCACCCAGTCCTGGTGGGCCACCGACTCCTTGCGGTCGAACATGACGGGCATCTTGGTGCTGAGCATGAGCCGGATGTGCGGGATCTTGGTGGCGCCCACGTCAGACACCAGGCGGTGCTTGATGTGCAGGCGCCCCGGCACCATCATGGCCAGGAAGTTGTCCATGACGGCCGCCAGGTCTGCCAGCCGCTGTTCCACCAGCGCCCACCCCGCCAGGAAGGGCCGCGGGTCGGGCGACTCGAGCAGGGCATCCAGCTGGGCCCGGCCGCGGTCCAGCTGCTCCAGCAGGTCTCCGAGCAGCAGGAGCTGGATCTTGGTCTGCGCGGTGCCCACCTTCTTCATGCGCTGGAACTTCCAGGGGTCGATGAGCTGGAACATGGTGCTGGGCAGCACCAGCGGGTTCTGGTCGCCCAGGGCCAGGTGCTTGGGCAGGATCTCGATGTGGTAGGAGCACTTCCGCAGCAGCTCCATGCGGGCGTGGTGGCGCTTCAGCAGGTGGGCGCTCAGGTCGCAGGTCAGGAACTCCCGCAGCGCGTTGCGGCGTGCTGTGTAGGTCCTCCAAGCCTCCGGCTCCAGCAGCTGCCGGTCCTCAGCCTCCTCCACCTCCTCCTGGTCCAGGAAGGACTGGGGACTGTCCAGCTTCATCTTGTCCAGGCCCAGGCCTGTCACCTGGAAGCTCATTGTCTGGAGGGAGGTGCAGGGTGAGGCGTGAGTGGGAGCAGCCAGGCAGGCCTCTGGGCTCACTTGGGGCCGTGTGTGTGTGCATGCGTGCGTGTGCATCTGTGCGTGTGTGTGTGTGTGTGTGTGTGTGTGTGCGCGTGAGAGAGAGAGAGAGAGAGAGGGAGAGAGATTCGGGCCCACTTACCCCCACACGGGCCCTCTGTCCTTCCTGGAGGGAGGACCTTGTGGGGAGCACCTTTCTCTACAAGAGCCTGCCTGGAGGGCCGGGTGGGCAGAGTCATTAAAAGTAGGCATTTAGAGCCCTCGCTGGTTAGGCTCAGTGGATAGAGCGTCAGCCTACAGACTGAAGGGCACATGCCTGGGTTTCGGACTCTATCCCCAGTAAGAGTAACTCAGGAGGCAGCCAATCAATGATTCTCTCTCATCATTGATGGCTCTATCTCTCTTCCTTTTTGGAATCAATAAGAAATAATTTTTTTAAATAAGTAGGTATTTAGCGGCAAACACTACTGATGATTGGTTGTGAGGACGCAGGGCAGGGCTAAGACCGGGGCTGGGCTCTGGGGCCAGAATGACTTGAGCAAAATCCTCGGCCACTGTCCAGCTGTGCACCTGACAAAGGTCTCGGGCCCTCGTTTGAAATGGGGTTACAGTGCTCCTCGGGACAACGGAGACTCAGGGGGGTCCTGTCTGAGCAGCACCGGACTCCCCTTGGGACACCACTGCCCTGCAGACCCTCCACACCTCACTGCCGGTGCCAGCAGGGGGCCAGGCTCAGCCCAGGACAGCCCGGGGGGACCAAGGCCAGCTGGGAGGTAGGGTTATTCCCCATCCCCGAGGACTGACCCTGCAGCTCCCAGCTCCCGGGCCTGGGGTGTCCTGGGGCCGCCAGGGCCTTAAAGAGCCACGGGCTCCCTGGGAAAGGCCAGAGGCTGAATCGGACACTCCCTCTTACAGGTGGGCGCTGAGCCTAAGTGCTTTGCAACTGGCTCTCACTCCAGGGTAAGGCCAGCCATGGCCCCCAGCCTGGAGCTCCTTTGGGCCACAACTCCCTCAGGTGTCCAGCTCTGGGTGTCAGTGCTCCCACACGGACGCAGCCACAGTGCGACTACTCCCTGCAAGCGGGGGCTCCCTGGAGGAGCCAGCATCCCTCTGCTGTCCCAGGTCCCAGCCGCTGCCGGGGCCCCGGCCTGCCCCTGGGAAGCTCTGGTTGTCCCAGCAGCCAAAGGCCGGGAGGGCCAGGGCCCAGTAGCTGCAGTGACTTGCCCAAGAAACCACAAGTGGCAGGGTAAGGTCCTTGCCCTTCCCGGAGCAGAGGAGCCAGAGGAGGCCTGGGCACCACAGAGGCTGTGGGGCTGAGGTGCCAGCTGAGCCCAGTCCCAGGACTTGGCCTAAGTCCTGCTCTGGCCTCTGGAGGGAACTCTTGCCCCTGGATCTGGCTATGGGTCGGGGATGTTCCCCATCGTCAACAGCCTCCCAGGTGAAAACCAAGATGGGTTGGTGTAAATGCCCAGGAGGGGTCACCTGGAGTCCTGGCCAGCCTCCTCCACCCCTCCTCCCGACCCTCTCCCCAAGCAATGCCCTCCCGCCACCCCCCTGGGACCTGCCCACCTCCGCCTCCCCACGACCCCTGCCCCCCGCCCACCCCTCCTGCAGCCCGGTGCCCACTTGCCCTGCCTCCCGGAGCTCCGTGCGGCTGACTGTGCGCAGAGCGGGGCGTCCAGTTTCGCACCCGTGGCAACCAGCAGTTGCCATGGCGATCGTGGGTCTTTGTGACGCCCCGCGGCGCGGGGAGTGGGGGCGGGAGGGCGGAGCCCAGGGCTTAGAGGGGAGACCTGTCTGGCCCGGAGCGCCCCCGCGGCCCGGAGGGACTGTGGTGGCTTTGCTCTCTCCTCTGGGCGATCTCCGAGCAGCGCGGGTGTGGGGTCCTTTCCGAGGAGCCGCCGGCCTCGCTCCGGCCCGTCCCAGGCACAGGCGGGGCTCCCCGGGGCGGGGCTCCCCGGGGCGGGGCTCCCGGGGTGGGGCTCCCAGGGGCGGGGCTCCCGGGGCGGGGCTCCCGGGGCGGGGCTCCCCGGGGCGGGGCTCCCGGGGGCGGGGCTCCCGGGGCGGGGCTCCTGGGGGCGGGGCTCCCCCAGGGCGGGGCTCCCCAGGGCGGGGCTCCCGGGGCGGGGCTCCCGGGGGCGGGGCTCCCGGGGCGGGGCTCCCCGGGGCGGGGCTCCGGGGCGGGGCCTGCAGCTGGTGGTTAACTTCCAGGGGTTCCTCAGTGGAGTTGCCGGAGGCGGGGCCATGGGCGCTGGAGGTGGGCAGTGCTGGTCCCCGAGGGGAAGGTGCTGGTCTGGACAGATGGGATCTCCACAGCTTCCGGGGCCCCTCAGAGGTATTCTCAGCCTCTGGGGCCCCATCTCTGGGGCCAGCTGGGCTCAGGGCCTCTGGGACCCTCAGCCAGCCTGGGTGTCCCCCCCCCCCCCCCCCCCCGTGGTGGTAGGTCTGACTCCCTAAGACACCCTGGCCCGCCGTGGAGAGGCTGAAGAGGCAGGGACACCCTGAGCCATGCTTGTGCTCCTCTGGGAGGTCAGTGGTGGGGCGCCTTCCAGGATGGAATGTCCGCCGAGTCCCTTCCCAGCCTGTTCTGTGCAGAGCCCGCCCACTGCACCCTCTCCGCTGGAGGAGTCTCCCCGGGGAGCTGCCATCAGCCCTTCTCAGCCCAGGCTGGGGGGGGCGGGGTCCGAGGAGGTGTGCTGAGGCCTGGTCTGCCCTCCTTGTCCACCCTGGGCTCTACCTCAGCAACAGGAGCTGCTGGGACTCAGGGATCCGAGGGGCAAGGGCTGAACGGTCTGGAAAGGGGGCGCTGTCTGAAGATTGAGGGGAGAAAGACCCCAGCCCTGCAGCCCACCCTCAGAGAGGATGAGACTCACACAGCCCATCCTGGACCTCTGCCACCTCTTTGGCTCCACCCCTTTTTTTCTGTTTCTTGTTCCTAAGCTAATTTTTTGTCATTAAACTTTTTTTTTAATTATTGATTTTTTTACAGAGAGTAAGGGAGGGGGATAGAGAATTAAAAAATTCGATGAGAGAGAAACATCGATCAGCCACCTCCTGCACCAACCCCCCCTGGGGATGTGCCCGCAACCAAGGTACATGCCCTTAACCAAAATCGAACCTGGGACCTTTCAGTCTGCAGGCCAACACTCTATCCACTGAGCCAAACTGGTTCCGGCTGTCATTAAACTTTTTACATATATATATATATATATATATATATATATATATATATATATATATAATGAATTTTTTTCACAGAGAGGAAGGGAAAGGAATAGAGAGTTAGAAACATCCATGAGAGACAAACATCAAACATCCATCAGCTGCTTTCTGCACACCCCCTACTGGGGATGTGCCTGCAAACAGGTACATGCCCTTGACCGAAATGAAACCTGGGACCCTTTTAATTCGCAGGCCGAAGCTCTATCCACTGAGCCAAACCGGCTAGGGCTAAGCTTTTAATTTGAGATCATTGTACAGTGGTGCCTCACACAACGAACTTAATTCGTTCCAGGAGCAAGTTTGTTATGCGAAAAGTTCGTTATGTGAAACGCGTTTTCCCATAACAATACATGTTAAAAAAAATAATTCGTTCTGTAGCATAAAATATGCTAAGATGACATAAAAAAGATAAATTTTTTGTTATTATTTTTATTTAGATACATCTAAAAACATAATTTTTTTTTTTTTAAACACACATTTTTTTAATTTTAAGACAGACTAAGTAGAGTCTACCGAATCTTGCACATCTTCATCCATTTTCTGCTTTTTGGCCGATGGTTTCATGAAAAACCTGTCCAAAGTCGTTTGTTTTTCTCTTTTCTCCAACATCTGCTGGAAATAACGGACAAGAGTATCGGAGTAAAGATCGTTGATCCTGTTTGCTTCAGCTGAATCCGGATACGTAAATTACTGTACATCGGCAGCGATCGTGGAAGCTCGGGCGAAGCAGTCGTGGAAGCTCGGGCGACTTCGTTGTGTGAAACGAAGTTCGTTGTATGAATCATGAAATGAAGTTCGTTGTGTGCAGCGTTCGCTGTGCGAGGCGTTCTTTATGCGAGGCACCACTGTAAATCACACCCAGCTGTAAGTGTAACAGACTCCATGACCCCGCTGCCCATTTCCTGCAGACGCTGTGTACGATCACGGCAGGGTGGTCCCACAGGGACCCATCCCTGCCCCTCAGGCCTGGCGGCCCCTGATCTGGCTGAGGCCCCTGTGTGAGTGGCTCCCTGCAGTGCAGCCCAGCTCCCCCTGCAGGCGGCATGCAGCCCCACTTGGTCCTTCCTCTGAGTGATGTTCCCAGGCATGGGCTCGTCTGTTTTCTCTCTCGCCCAACTCCGCAGCCACCAGCTGTGTTGCCCTTGGCAGAGCGACCCTGGACCCTGAGGGAGGTGAGCCTGGGGGTCTCAAGGTCACAGCCTTGGCGAGGGAAGTGCACTTGTGCACTGACACCCCATCATGTGTCCTCCACATACATGAACCCGTAGGGTGATGACTCCTCAGCCTGCATGCCAAGAGGCCCCTGCTCACTACGTCACTGTGAGCTCAGTGTCTTACAGATGGGGAAATCAAGGCACGGAGAGTTCAGTACCTTGCCTGTGGCTAGTGAGTCTGAGAGCAGGATTTGAACCCCGTCATCTGACCACATCCAGAGTTGTGGAGGCCTCTGCTCTCTCACACCCACCACCCCACCCCACCCAGCACTCCCGCTCCTTAGGGCGACGGTGGAGCAGAGGGCCTGCCTGGTGGAAGGCCGTGCTGGTGCAGGGCCAGCGGTGCTCCCTGCAGAGCCCTGGCCGAGGAGGAGGGGCCTCCGCCTGGTCACTGGAGACTGAGAAGGGCCAGGCTCTTTGGAGCTGGGAGGGCGCCCCCTCCCCAGCACAGGCTCCTGCTAGCAGACGCCTCTGCTCTGACCTTGAGGGGATGGGCAGGACCTGTTTTCCTTGCCTGTAGGAGGAAGACCTCGGCCCACCATGGGGTCTCTGGGCTTTTTGGGGGGCTGACCGGAGCCTGGGCAGGAGCGGGAGTGAGCCCAGAGGACCAAGGAGGCCCTCCCGGCCTGCCCTGGCCCCGAAGGAATGTGCAGCGAGTCTTTGGGAGAACGTGTCTGGGATCTGAGTGGCTGGCTCCGAGCATGGTCAGCACGAGGGGGCCCTGGCCTGAGGAGGCCCTTCGGGTGCAGGTCAGAGGCCTGGCTTCCGAGGAGGGGGAGCCGTGTATCTGCACTGAGGGAAACACACCCACAAATCCCAGACTTGCACTCGGGGGAGCAGGTGGCGGCGGGGCTGCAGGCTCTTCCAGCCCCTCCCACCCCCCGCCCGGCAGGTGTGTGTGTAAGTATCCTCTTCTCACAGCCCAGCAGGGTAGTCTCAGGTGCCCCTCAGTTCACTGTGTGGCTGCCACACCAGTTTGTAAACGGTATAAGCTGCCCCCAGATGCAGTGCAGAGACAAGGGTTGGCTGCCTCTCTGGGGCCACTTGGACAATCGTCACACCTGGTTATAGGGAACATTCACCACCAAGAACAAACCTGTGGCCAGGTTTGCTCAGTGAGAAGAATGTCGGCCTGCGAACTGAAGGGTCCCAGGTTCAATTCCAGTTAAGGGCACAGGCCTGGGTTGCGGGCTCGATCCCCAGTGTGGGGCGTGCAGGAGGCAGCCCATCAGTGATTCTCTCTCAGCACTGATGTTTCCATTTCTCCTTCTCCCTTCCTCTCTGAGATCAATAAAAATATATTATTTTTTTTAAAAAGAGAGAGAGAGCAAACTTTTGGATGTGCACAGAGTTCAAGGAGAGGAAGGAGAGTTGCCGCCGTCAGCAGAGGGAGGGGCCTCTGTATGACTGTGGGGGGGGGGGGGGACACGGGAGAGAGCAGGCCGCCTGCTGGGACCCACCCACCACAGACCCTGCCCCAGGGCCCCTGCTGGCTGGGGCTGCTTTCCCCACCCAACACAGAAGCACAGGCCCGGCTGCTTCATCGGCAGGGGCTGGCTGTGAACCAAGCTCACGCCCACCCCTCCTATGCCACTGGGTTCATATCCATCCTGCCTGGGCCTGGGGGTAGGACCCGAGGCCCAGCCCAGGACCTCACCCGGCCCCGCCCCCCAGACTGGTCTGAACACCAGCCTGGAGGCAGGCAGGGGCCTGTGCAAGCCCGCTCCTGCTTGTGGGCTGTGCGGTGCAGGCCCTCTGCAGGGTCCTGACACCACCCCTTGCACCAGCCAGGACCCACGCAGCCGGGCTCCGAGGCTCGGGCTCCGACAAGCACCTTCCCACCAGCCTTCCAGCTGCTCCTTTCCGAAAGTCCCTTCCCTGCAGGGCCTGGGCGGCCTGGGACCAGGTTCAGAACATGGAGCCCTTCCTCAGGAAGCGGCTGGCCTTCCTGTCCTCCTTCTGGAACAAGATCTGGCCAGCAGGTGCCCAGGACCACAGCATCCCCTGCTCTCCCGACCCCGGCGCCGACCCGAGCCGGACCCCCCGCCGCTGCCGCGGGCAGCTCTTCAGGGCGCTGTGCGACTCCCGGCGCGGTGTGCCAACCAGCTGAGCCTCCGCCGCGGGGACAGGCTCTGTGCCCTCAAGGAGGAGGGCGACTCGTGCCCCTCGCCTCCGTAGCCAAGGCCACCCCCTCCCGAGATGCTCGCGGACCGGCCGTGAGTGCCGCCTGCTCTGGGCCAGGGATAAGTGGGTGAGGTGGGTGGCCATCTGGGAGTCTGAGTCATCCACGCACTCCGAGGGGTGGTAAGGGGGTGAGGGTGCGATATCTCAGAAGTGCATCCCCCTGCCCCTCACTGCACATGCCCACCCCGCGCCTGCCCTGGGCAGGCATGGGGCTTCAGGGTTGCTCCAGAAAAGGCCTGTGTGGGCAGTGGACCCAGGTAGGGGGCCCAACCACTCCCCCAGAGCCTGAGCCCTGAGGCGGGCAGGGCCCGGGCAGGAATGTCTCTTGCTGGCATGGCAGCCTGTCACCATGGGAGGAAGAAGCCTGCTCTCCAGGCGGCTCCTCGGGGAGGTACTTCTCCGCTCCGGCTCCAGGTCCAAGGACGGGGGGTCTCCTGTGCCAGCTCTGAGCAGGGCCTTGCCATCTGGCAGTGGGCATGCTCCATAGGCCTCAGCATTTCATTCAAACCTGGGATGTGACCTGACCCATCTTTCCTGAGTGCGGTGGGTCAGCTGGCAGTGGTGGCCACCGCAGTCTCTGGGGTCTGGATGGACACTGGGCAGTCTCCCCCTCAGCCCAGCATGCACAGAGGTGGTGTGCTGGGTGAGAACAGGACCTGGTGAGGGTCCTGCCCCCGCTGGGCCGGCCTGAGCCCTGGACATGTCCTTGCTGACCAGCCTAGGCCTCAGCCTCAGCCAGGCCACTGCCAGCCCCTGGGAGAAGCTGGAGTCTCAGGAAGGTGCCCCCGGCCCTCACCCCACGCCTGGGACCAAGCAGTCAGCGATGGGGAGGTGCCCAGTCACCCAGGCGTGGAGGACAAAGCCAGAGCTGCTCCCGGAAAAGGCTGGCAGGGCTTGGGAGGGAAGGGCTGCCAAGAGGAAGCGCTAATGACTGTTTGCTTGGCTGGAGATGAGAGGGCTGCCCAACTCCACGGTCATTCGCCCCAGACACCGTCCCTGGCCCAGACTGGCTGGGTGGGCTGGGCCTTCAACCCCCACAGTGAGGCCTCACTGCTTTCAAGCTGCTGAGGACTCCACCACCATCTCATTTCACCCATGGCCCACACTCCAGGGAGGGACCCTGAGAACATGTCTGCAGCCCAGGGGTGTCCAGCTCTCCCCCAGGCCCTGGGGCTGCAGGGAGGCCGGGCGGGAGCCTCTGGTTCTCCTTGTCCCCACAGCCCTGCTGTCCCGGGAAGGCTGCTGAGCGCCTTCGCACCTGAGCTGTTCTCCGCCAGCAGGCCCAGCGGGCAGGCTGTGCGGACGAGCCTGGCCGCCTCAGAGTCAGTGTGTCCCTGAGCTCGCTGCCCGCCAGGTTTGTCTCTGGAGACCCGTGTAGGTCCATGGTCCTCCACCCTTCCCCACCTGCCTGTCTGCTTATTCCACCTCCAGTGTTTCCCAGCCCTCTGCCTCTCCACCCACTCGCACCCACTTCTCCTGTCTCCCGTCCTCCCTCCAGTCTAGGCCAGCTCCCCAGCTCTGGCCACAGTGGTTCCCAGACCCCCTCCATAGCTCCCCAGGAGGGTGCGCGTTTGTCTCTGTCCCTCCTCCAGGCCCTGCCCTTGCCCCGGCTTCAGCAGCACCACCTGCACAGCTCTGTCACCCGGTCCCCGCTCTGGGGGCACCCCGACCTTGTGCTTACTCGCTCTGAGTCAGACTTTGAGTCCCCAGGTGAGCTGAGAGCCAGTCCCTCAGCGGGGCGAGGGGCTGTCTCTGAACATTAGTGGTCCCCTTGGGGTCAGGCCTGCTGCCACTGGGTCCCCAGGGCCCCTAGGTGTGGGGAGGCTCCCGGAAGGGACGCTAACTCAGGGGTGAGGCCCCCCCAGCCTTGGGGAATAGCACAGGTGATGGTGGGGCAGGGGCCTCACGAGGCTGATTTGTGGTGGATGGAGAGTCAGATGGCCCACCCCACCCCACATCCGGGAGTGGGGTTCGGTGTCTGGGAATGCTGTACGACTGGAGTGGCTGCCCGGGGCTCCAGCCACCTGGCTTTCGGGTGGCCTCCACGCCAGTGGCTCTGTGTGAGCAGAGGCCAGGGGCTCGAGCTGGTTTGTGCCGGGCAGGGTTCCTCCAGGGTCTCCCAGCTTCCCCTGCCCACCTGCCCACCTGCCCACCGGGCTCAGGCCACCTCCTGAGGGCCTTCCCAGCTGCCAGCTCTGCGGCTGCTTCTCCCACCCACCTCTGACCTGAGGCATTTGGGCCACGCCCAGCCAGGCAGCAGCCCAGCCCACACCGAGCTTCATCAGGGAGCCTGTTCCCAGCGGCCCCCTTGTCTCGGAAGGGCTCAGTTGTCTTGAGTTTGACAGGTTTGGTCTGTGTCCAGGCTGCTAGCCCGTGGCCAGGGTTGTGGTCACTATGAGCAGGACTAATGGACCCTGCAGCTGAGGGGAGTGGACAGCCTCACATGGCATGGATCACTGCTGGTGGCTGTCAGCCCCAGGTGGTCCTCCTGTCCAGTCCCTGAGGACAAGGGAGGCTGAGCACTGGGGGCCGGGGCTGGGGGCACAGAGTGGGCACATGGGGCCTCTGACCAGCGTGGGGCGGGGGTACCTGGGACTGGGCCTGCCCAGTGGCGGTTGCGCCCACCCTTTGCAGCTGGTACTTCAATGGCATCAGCCGCACCCTCTCCAGCAGCCGACATGAAACTCGCTGACCTTGCCAAGGAGATCCAGACGCTCAAGAGCCTGCGGCTCGAGCGGCTCATCCCGCTGCACGCCGTGTGCTCCGCCGGCGGGCCCTGTACATCGTCACCGAGCTCACTCGCAAGGGCAACCTGCAGGCCTTCCCGGGCAGCGAGTGTGCCCTGCCGGCCGCCCGTCTGTGGGCAGCACGACCTTCGGGCCGGGACGACCCTGCTGCCTCCGGGCTCGGGCCGTGGACAGGCCAGTGGAGAGAAGGTCAGGGCCTGGGTTCCGGGCTGGGCAGAGTGTGCGGGCACACACACACACACACACACACACACACGGGTCCATCTGTGTCCCCAGCCCCTGACCGAGGTCAGGATGGACCCAGTCCAGCGCCCCCTCCCGCTTTGGGCCTCCTCTGTCTCTGTTGGAGACCAGGCTGGTTGCCAAGAAACAGCTTGCCCGGCATGGTCACTGCAGCCGCACAGGGCTCCCCCTCTCAGATGAGGAAACTGAGGCACAGAGGGCAGTGGCATGACTGTCGGCTGCCCCTGCAGGCCCCGAAGGCCGCGCCCTGAGCCCGGCAGTGCTGCTGGGCTTCGCCTGCCAGGTGGCAGAGGGCATGTGCCACCTGGAGGAGCGGCACATCGGGCACTGAGACCTGGCCGCCAGGAACGTGCTCGTGGACGACGGCCTGGCCCGGCTGCTCACGGTCAGGGCGCGGGCGGTGGTGCCGGCGGGAGCGGAGGCGCGCCTCACCGCCTCACCGCGGCATCCCTCGCCAGGATGACGTCTACTCCCGGAGCAGCAGCTCCAAGATCCCCGTCCAGTGGACAGCGCCCGAGGCCGCCCGCTTCCGCGTGTGCTCTCCGAAGTCGGACGTCTGGTCCTTCGGCGTGCTGCTCTACGAGGCGTTCTCCTACAGCCAGGGTCCCTATGAAGGTGGGCCCCCGCAGCCGAGGGCGCGCCTTGCCCTAGGGCAGATCACCCCAGAAGGGTGCCAGGCCTCGAGGCTGCCGCGTGACGGTCTGGGGAAGGGAGACCCACGGTGACTCCTCCTCCCCAGGAATGAGCAACCACGAGACACTGCAGCAGAGCGAGAGGGTGCCGGCTCCCACGCCCGGCCGCCTGCCCCGCCGAGGCCTACGCGCTCATGCTGGCGTGCTGGAAGCACAGCCGGAGGAGCGGCCGGCCTTCGCTGTGCTGCAGGCCACGCTGGGCACCATTCACGGGCGCCTCCCTCCCACCCTCCCGTGACGCGGGCGCCGCCGGGCTGGCTGCTTCCTCGGCCTCCCTCAGGACGATGTGTACCTCCGGGCTCCAGGGGCCCCGCCACAGCCTCGAAGCTCCTGGTCGTGAGCCTCACGTGCTGACTGACACACACAGGTGTGCACGCCCAGGCCAACGTACGAAGACATGCACTCAGAGAGCAGAGGGGCTGGCATCTGCCCGGTGGTCGTGTCCCTGGCGTGGGCAGAACCCCGGAGAGAAGGCCCGCCGAGCAGGGTGGCTGGGGGAGGAGCTCTGAGCTGGCTGAGGGCCCTCCCACCTGGGACACCCTCCCAGGGTCAGGAGCGGCAGGTGTGGCTTCCCAGTCTTTCCCAGAGTCCCCCAGGGCCTTGTTGAAGGGCTGGTTTGGGGCTCCCAGGCTGGCCCCAGCTCTGGGCATGCGGGGTGCAGCAGCCTGCACACGTGTGCCGCTGCCTGTGGACAGCCCTGTGTGTGCAGGGAGGCAGCCCTCAGTAAACATGCATGCACTGAGTCAGCTGCACAGACGTGCGTCACCACTGGCCTCAGCCCTGGCCGGAGCAGGGCGGTCTGTCCCGATGGAGGGAGAGCTGGCCCTGTGTCCGGCCCGCACCCCAGGCAGCCAGAAGCAGACGACGCCCCCAGGAGCTGGGGGACAGCCCGTCCATCCCCTGGGCTGGGATGGAGGGGGTGGCTGGGCTGGTGCTACACGGGAAGGTCAGGCGGATGCAGAGTGGCGGTCTTGGGGCGGGGACTCGTCTGCCTCTGTGGTGCAGGTCCGGCGCTGCCTGTTGTGCAGCCAGGCTGCGTGGAGGCGGGCAGCTGCGGACGGCTCTCGGGGAAGGGCAAAAGCTTCTCCAGAGCCAGGCAGCTCCCAGCCCTGATTTAAGCCACCGCTGACATCGCCGAGTGAGGAGGTGCCTCACCTGCCGGCTCTGGACCTGCCGGCTCTGGACCTGCCGGCTCTGGAGCAAACGGATGAACAATTGGAGGAGCGGGAGGAGTGGGTGGGTGGGGTCTGCCTTCAGGCTCCTCACCCCCACCCTCCTGGGAACCCCACACTGGCAGCTGTGCCCCAGAGGCTTGTGGGACAGAAAGCTCAGAGGCATGTACAAGCCCCTCAGGCTCAGATAAGTGACCCCAGGGCTGCTCAGAGAGCAGAGGCTGCTGGGGCTGGGTTCGGGGAGGGGCTCCATGGCGGAGGGCGAGGCGGGGCAGCACAGGGATGAGGTAGGAACCAGCCGCATCAGGCCCAGATGCGTCTGGCTTTGGGTCAGGGCCGAGTGGGAAGTCAGGAGTGCCCAGAGCCTCAGACCCCAGGCTGGGCTGCCCCGGCCTGGTCGGTGTGGGGCAGGAGGGTTTGGGCAGCAGCTGCTGACCCTCCATCCTGTGCTGGGCCGAGGGGCTGGGCCCCAGAAGGCGAGGGCTGGAGCTGAGCTCCTCGGGGTCGGGGGTCAAGGGACCCTCTGGGCAGGGGCTCCAGCCACCAGGAGGGCTCGCCCGCTTGGGCTGGCGCTGCGGGGTGTGTGGGCGGCTGGCAGGCAGCCTCCGGGGAAGGAATGTGCGGGGCGTGGTGACAGGCCAGAGAGGCAGGTGCGCGTGGCGGTCGCCTTGGCTGTCTCAGGTGCTGGACAGCTTTGTGCTCGGGGCCTCTGGGCGGGCCGGGCAGTCCGGAAACCGGAGCTTCCTGGTGTGACTCAGGCAGAGCCCCAGGGACTCCAGGCCCTCGGACTGGAGCGTATTGGTTCGCAGCGGAGGGTGCTCACAGCCCCCACCCTGCGGCCCCTGCCCTCCAGGGTCCGCGCGGCGTGGTCAGCGCTGGGGGGCTGCCCGTCCATGACCTCGTTAAGCAGCCGCTCCTGTTCTTCCCGCGGACGGGTGCGTGGGCCCTTGCTCTCCTCGATGACGGCAAGTTTCAACAAGCAGGATGCGGCTCCTTTGTCCTCAGCCTCCTGCCGTAGCGGCAGTTCCTGGCGCCGCCTCAGCCAGGAAGCCTCAGGCCTCAGGCCAGCGGGCTGACCGGAACCCACGGCCACGCTGGACTGCCTGCTGCAGCCGCACCAGCTCCCCCTCACGCCTCCCCTCCCCGCTCCCCTCTCCCCTGTGGAGTGCCTTGTCCATGGTCTTCATCCCTGACCCCAGCTCCCAAACCCTCTCCCCATGGTCCAGGGGCCCTCACTGGTGACTCTACCCTCCCCCTCTCGGGGCTCAGGCCCACCACGTGGTCCACTTGTGAGCACATTCCCAGAGGGTGGGCAAGGACAGTGCCACCATGCCTGGCCCAGGAGGTAGAACGGGGGTGGGGGGGTGGGGGCCTGCCAGGACTCAAGGTGGAGCCAGGTGCTGAGGGAAGTGCGTAGCTCATTGGCTGGGCGGGTGGGGTGGCCTGTCAGAACTGGCCCTGCCCGGCCACACCTCCTGGCCACTGCGCTCACAGCAGCCTGGCGACAGGCAGAGAGGCCAGGCGGCTAGGACCTGCCTCTTCAGACACCATGGTGTCCCGGGGCCAGGCGCACCTGGGCCCCAAGTATGTGGGCCTCTGGGACTTTAAGGCCCGGACAGACGAGGAGCTGAGCTTCCAGGCAGGAAGTCTCTTCCACGTGGCCAGGAAGGAGGAGGAGTGGTGGTGGGCCACGCTGCTGGACGCTGAGGGCGGGGCCCTGGCAGAAGGCTACGTGCCTCACAACTACCTGGCCGAGAGGGAGACTGTGGAGTCTGAGCCGTGAGTGCCCCGTGGTCCTTGCGGGCCCCGTGCACGGCCCCGCGTCCGCCTGAGCTCCAGCAGGGCAGGGCCTCCGGGAGAGCTCCGCGCCCTCGGCTGGGCTCGGGGGGACGGGAGCAGGGCTGGCCAAGGAGGGTGAGGACTGCGGCTTCGTCTCCTTGGGCCCCCAAGTCAGGCCAGACCCCACCATCCATGGCTGTACATCATTGCCGGCCGGCATGTGGGGAGGCTGCGGCCTGGGGCCCCTGCCCTGGGCTCCGATGTGGCCGCTTTGTGGTGCCAGGACCCAGAGAGGACAGAAGAGGCCACAGGGGCCCCCGGGGGGCTGCCCGCAGTGAATCCAAGGCTGGGCTGGACCTTTTGGGGAGCCAAGTTCTGCTCACCTTCCAACCAACTGAAACCAGATGTGCGACCTAGTTAGGGAGGGAGGGAGGTCATTGCGACATGCCCGCTCAGGCGTGGGCTGCGGGCGCTGCTCCTCGCACCCTCACGGCTGCCTCGTCACGGGAGCGGCGGCCGCCCGACAGGCTGCCCGGGATGAAACCAGGCAGCCTTCGCTCGCGTGCCCACGAGCCCTGAGTGCCTCCCTGGAGCTCTGGGAGGGGCCCAGCCGGCACCTGCCGTGTTTGGGCTCGCGCTGTGCGGGGTAGGGGTGACCACCTGTCGAGGGGAGACTGGCCATGAGCAAGTTCGGCCGGAAGCAGGTCGGCTTCGGAGGCGGGTCTCCGGGGGTGTGGTGCCGGGAAGGACCAGCTGGAGGAGGGCATGGCGGCCTGAGAACAGCTGGCTGGAGAACCGGAGGAGGCAGCGCGGTGGAGGGTGCGCAGGCTGGGCCCGCGTTCCAATGGTGCTGAGGGAGTTGGGTGCCAAAGGCAGAGCAGCTGGCAGCAGAGGTCACTGGGAGATGGCGGGCCCCACCCTGCAGCCGAGTCCAGGGTTCGCAGGGCTGCTGGCGCGTTGGCATGGGGCGAGTGTGCGAGTGAGTGTGCAGTGCGGGTGTGTGACCAGCCAGGTGTGCGTGGCTGGCTGCTCAGCACACCTGTCTGTGGCCCGGGTCACTGGAGGTGGTCAGTCACAGAACCACGCGGTCCCGTGGGAGGGTGGCACATCCCTGGGACGGGTGGCTCTGACCACCAGGGACAGCCCAGGCCAGAGTGGTGACGATGGCTGCTCTAACGGCCTTTGCTCCCTCGGGACACGTGGGGTCTGTGACGGGCAGGGAGGAGCCTCAGGTCGGAGACAGTGGCAGCTGGCAGCTGGGGTGCAGGTGGAGGCTGGGACTCAGGTGGGAGGGCAGGGGTCAGCATGGAGTCAGTGTGGCTCTGGGCTCCTGCCCCCTCTGCAGGTGGTTCTTCGGCTGCATCTCCCGCTCAGAAGCCGTGCACCGACTGCAGGCAGACGGCTCCGGGCCCGGGGCCTTCCTGATCAGGGTCAGCGAGAAGCCGGGCGCCGACTATGTCCTCTCAGGTGCAGCAGCCCTCTCCCGGGTCTGCCGGCGCCGGGCTCGGTCCTCCTGTCCCCCAGCCCTCTCTCCCTCCTCCTGGCTGTGGCACCCGGACACGGAGGCCTGTCCCGGAGACGCAGGCCCCGCGGGGTGATGTCCTGTGGTCCCGCCTGGGTTCTCTCCGGTCACTGTTGGAAGGACACAGGGCAGGAGGCGGGCGTGGCGCCCCTGCCTTCGGCACTCCTCTTTGAGCCAGGTGCCCACGCCGGCTCACGCACCCTCCTTTGCCCGCGCCCCTGCGCTCTAGTGCGGGACAGGCCGGCCGTGCGGCACTACAGGATCTGGAGGTGTGCGGGCCGTCTGCACCTCAGCGAAGCAGTGTCCTTCCCCAGCCTGGCCCAGCTCGTGAGCCACCACCGAGCACACAGTCTGTCCAGAGGCCTGCAGCTGACAGTGCCCTGTGGGAAGGTAAGGCCGCCCCCACCCCCAGACTCTGTCCAGTGCAGCCCTTCCTCCTCAGTGACCCGGGTCCTCAGGGTCAGGCGGAGGGCTCCAGGGGGCTCTGGCTGAGGCCCCGGGGCCGGACCTGCAGGTGGGGCAGAGGATGGTCCCCTCTTGCTGGTCCCTCTCACCTTTGGGCTGAAGAGGTCAGGGTGCCCTGCTGTGTCCTTTGTCTCTGAGACAAGGCTCTGTGCCCAGCTGAGCGTTTTGTCTGAGTGGCAAGTGGGCACTGTCACAGGCCCAGGGCAGGCCGGGAGGGGTGTTTACAGGACACAGAAGGGGCAGACGCCCTGGACACGGGGACCCTTGAGCAGGGCTCCCGCTGCTGGGGTCGGAGGGGCTTCAGAGGGCCGGGCGATGGGTGGCACCCCTCCCTGCGTCCCTGCAGCACGAGCGGGAGCCCCTGCCCCTCTGTGCCGACTGGGAGCGGCCCCGGGAGGAGTTCACGCTCTGCAGGAAGCTGGGGGCCGGCTACTTCGGGGAGGTCTTCGAGGGGCTCTGGAAAGGCCAGGTCCGCGTGGCCGTGAAGGTGATTGCCCGAGGTGAGTGGCCCTGGCGTGGCGGGCCCTCAGGGAGACCCCTATGGGGTGCGGGCCGCTGGGGGACCAGTGCGTCTGCCCCGTTCACTGGCCTTGGGAGCCGGTCGCCCGGGTGAGCACCCACCGTTCCTGAGGGCGGGTGCTGGGGCTGCCCCCTCCGACCTGTCCATCTTGCAGATGACCTCCTGCACCAGCACACGTTCCAGGCGGAGATCCAGGCCATGAAGAAGCTCCGGCACAAGCACATCCTGGCGCTGTACGCTGTGGCATCCCTGGGGGACCCCGTGTACATCATCACAGAGCTCATGGCCAAGGGGAGCCTGCTGGAGCTCCTGCGGGGTGAGTGGCCGTGGCGGCCGGGGCTGCTGTCAGGGACCAGAGTGACACCTGCTGCTTGGGGACGGGATCAGGAAGGACGCTGAAGAAAGAAAACCCTGGCTGCCCACACCATGCACAGGACGCCAGGTCTCCTTGTGTGTGCCAGGCCTTTCCTGTGAGGAATGTGTGTGATATCTGTGACAACGTGCCGTCTGTTCATCGTGAAGTTTGAGGAAGTACAGAGAAGGGCAAATACAGGGAAAGGCCCACTCCTGGGCCGTGGCACCTGAGCTCTCCCCTGGCAAGCCCAGGGTTTCACGGCACACCCAGCCGACGGTGGCTGCGCTGAGCAGAGGGCCACGGGGCGGGTGTGTGTGGTGTTGAAGTGGGAAGTAAGGTAGGATGAGGACTGCAATGTGATGTGTGCACCTGGAATTCCGTCTTCCGGACAAAGTCCGACTGTAGAGCCGCTCACGGGAGCAGCCATGCAGCAGCCCCGTGCCGCTGACTGTTCTTCAGGTTGACAGGTGAGTTGCCTCCACTTGGCCAGTGGCCTGTGGGATCTTTCTAGGTTTTCCATCTGATGGGTGTCTGTGTACTCACACCCGGAGTTCCGATTCCCAGAAGCGAAGTACAAAGGTGTATGAGCCTCTGGGGCTGACACAGAACTCCTGCAGGGCTGCGGGGGGGGGGGGGGGGGGGCGCCCCTGCCAGCCCCTCCACTGAGCAGAGGACCCCTCGCTGACCCGGTCTCTTTGCCTCTGCAGAGTCTGATGAGAAAGTCCTGCCCGTCTTGGAGCTGGTGGACATCGCCTCCCAGGTGGCCGAGGGCATGTGCTACCTGGAGTCTCAGAATTACATCCACCGGGACCTGGCTGCCAGGAACATCCTCGTGGGCGAGAACAACATTTGCAAAGTGGGGGATTTTGGGCTGGCCAGGCTCATCAAGGTAGGGCCCCGGAGGGCTGGGGCATAGTGGGGCGTCCTGTGCTCGGGGCTGGGGATACCGTGGGGCTCCTGAGGGGACAGGAGCAGAGGGCTGCGGCCTGGGACGTGGGACACACGAAGCTGCTTATAGGGCCTTTCAGAGCTGGAGTGGGGTGGGGGTGGAGGGTGGGGTCCGAGGCACTTGGCCAGTCCAGGAGCCACAGTCTCTGCTGAGTGGGAGAAGCAGGGACCAGCCTTTACCTGCTCCTTCCTTCCTTAGAGTTGCTGCTACCCTGTTTCCCCGAAAATAAGACAGTGTCTTACATTAATTTTTGCTCCCAAAGATGCACTAGGTCTTATTTTCAGGGGATGTCTTATTTTTCCATGAAGAATACGGTACACATTTATTGTTAAATGAAAATAAAGTAAATTTATTACCTGGACACGGTACAGTAGTATGGTAGTTGTCGACACAAACCAGACAAACTCTGAATCCTACAGTATTAAGAATTTACTCATTTGTTCAATGACGATCATGTCATCATCTTCTGGAACATCATCATAACAATCCAATTCCTGAATTTCCTGGAGAATTTCTTGTGACTCCATTTCTTTCAGAATCAGTGGACCAAATCTCTCATGTTTAGCCTAGGGGGGGCCTTATTTTCAGCGGGATGCCTTATATCTCATTCAGAAGGAAACCTGTAAGTAGGTCTTATTTTCGGAGGATGTCTTACATTAGGGGAAACGCGGTAGCTTCTGCGGCTCAGGTAGCTCAGATAGACCCCTTCCAGCGCTCACCCCCGGAGTTGTGGGGACTGTGGACACACGTGTCAGGATTATGCGTGGGCCCCGTGGTCCCTCGGCCGACAGCCCCTCCCTGCCGGTGCCGGGGGGCATTCTGCTGCTCCTCGTGCGGGCGCTCGGGGAGCCGCTCCCGAGACGTTTCCCTCCTCTCCCGGTGGCCAGCACGGGGCAGGTCACTATGGCAGGAAGACGGGGTGGGACCACGGGAGCCTGGTAAGCCCCACTTGACCTGGACAGAGGACAGAGGTGCTACCTGGGAGGCGACGTCTGCGAGTTTGTCCAGTGGCGGCAGTCAGCCTTTCTTGGCACCTCTGAACTCTAAACGTGAACCCACCGGCAGTGGCCACTATGTGCTGGGTCATGCTGCCCGTCTGGGCTCCGCCATCTGTCTGCTCTGCCCACAAGCCCCCGCCAGCCTGCCTCCGAGGCGGGCAGCAACCCCCTCTAGTGGTGGCCGGGATGGCCTCGCTGCTCACCCGCCAGGCAGGCGGCCACAACCCTGCTCCCCACACACGGCTCCCCTGCCTCCCCCAGCGTGCCTGTCATTACAGGAGGACATCTACCTTTCCCACGACCGCAACATCCCCTACAAGTGGACGGCCCCAGAGGCGCTCTCCCGTGGGCACTACTCCACCAAGTCTGACGTCTGGTCCTTCGGGGTCCTCCTCCACGAGGTTTTCAGCAGGGGCCAGACGCCCTATCCAGGTACTGGGCCCCGGCAGTGTGGGAAGGACCTGTAACCTGGACCCCATTCTGAGCACCTGGGTGCTGTCTGGAGCGAGGGCCTTGGAAATGGGTGTGGGAGGTGCAGAGGGTGAGAGCGTGGCCGAGGTGTCCTAGGAGGCACAGTAGCCACCCTGGCCCCCTCTCCACAGGCATGTCCAACCACGAGGCCTTCACGAGGGTGGACTCTGGCTACCGCATGCCCTGCCCCCCTGAGTGCCCGCCCAGTGCCCACAGGCTGATGCTCACGTGCTGGCACCGGGACCCTGAGCAGAGGCCCTGCTTCCAAGCCCTGCGGGAGAAGCTCTGCAGCTTCACCAGCTACGAGAACCCAATCTGAATGCCGAGTGCGGCCTCCCCACCGCCTGGAGGTGGCCAAGGGCCCAACAGCACCCAGATCCAGACTGTACTCCAGGGCAGAGTGCGCCAGCCACCAGGGCGCTCTGCTCTGGCCAGATGTCCCCTGCGGCCTGGGGCTGGGACGGCCTCTCCGAGCACCGGCACCACCTCCTCGCCGTGGGACCTGCAGGAGGGGGCCCACAGCCCACCAGCTGTCAGGACCAGCGCTTGGCCCTCCAACAGAGTCCCTGGTGGGAACCTGGGTCTTGGCTGTGCCCTCCCTTTGCCACCTAGCTCCTGCCTGCCCCGACTTCGGGATGGGAAGACTCCCCAGCACTCAAACACGGTCTGCTGGTGGTTGGGCAGTGCCACCTGCCATCCCAGGACCAGGTGGCTGGCCCCATCTTCCTGCCACTGCTACCAGGAGCTGCCTCTGAAGGTTCGAGGGGCCTGGCTGGGCATTACGGCAGAAAGATGGGGCGGGGGACTTGCCCATCCAGCCTTGGGGCCACAGGAGCCTGGGTAAGCCCCCACTCCACCTGGACACACTGGAGAGGTGCTGCCCTTCGGGGTCCCAGCCCCCCAGCTGCCTTGGATAGACTCATGCAGCTATCCCTAGCACAGGGAGGAAGGGAAGGGGGCACGAGAGGGCTCCCTCAGGGGCCAGCTGAGTCCCACCTCACACCATGCTGCCCTCCTCACATCCACTACGCTGCCCTCTCCTGGCCAACAGATCTGGGTCATCCTGTTGGCCACGGGAGACCTGTGGCCACCGGGCAGGCAGCTAGATTGCACAATCATCTCGCCCAGCTCCCTGAGCTGGACTTTGCCTGAAGCTGGGCTGCCAGTTGTGACACCCCTTCAGGAGCACCCCCAGCCTCTACTTCAGCTTTCAGCCTCCGGGGCTGGGGCCCGACCGCCCGGGATGGGAGGCCCCGCTCAGAGTCTTACAAGGGACTGGCGGTGGCACACTTATGGGAGACAGTGTGGCTCAGTGCTCGTCCCACACCAGAGTGGAGGGGCCTCATCAAGGTCCTTCAAGGGCGCCAGGTCCTTCTAGCCGACAGCGCCCACCCACAGCCTCCAGAGGTGGCAGGCAGGGCTGCCTGGTGGGCGACCCCAGCGGCTTCCACAGATCAGACCACCTGCTCTCCCGGCGCCCACCTCCTCTTAGGCACAAGGCTCCACTCAGAGCAGCTCAGGGGGGATCGGCCAGGCCTGAGCCGCCCCCCAGCAAGGAGCCCTGGGGGGCAGGGCCAGCTCCCACCCCCACCAGGAACTGAGGAGGCTGAGCGACTTCTCCCATCGCCTGGAACACACTGCTCAGGAACACCGTCAGGGATGCTGGCTGCTTCTCATTTATTTTCCACTTGGTGCAAGGCACATGGTTATGGGTGTTAGGCAGGCTTGCATGTGGCTTGGGTAGTAAAGAGTGGGGCTCTCTCGACTTCCTTTTTGGTGTTTTGCTGTTTTGCTATAAAAGAACCCAACTGCGTCTGCTTGTTGCAGCCGGCCTAGTCTACAGGAGGTGGGGTGGGGGGTGGGGGGGGGCTCAGAGAGCCTAGCGCCTCTGGAAGTCTGCTGGCGGCCACTCAGGACGGGGGCCCAGCGTTGGCTCTGCCAGGCTGGCCGCCAGGCTGCTTCCTTGTGGCTTCCCCAGCCAGGTCACAGGTGATCACACTGCGGGCGGCCTGGGGAGAGTCCGAGCTGGGGGAGAGAGAGAGGTCAGAGGGTGCTCCCAGCGGCCACGCCGCCCATGCTGGCCCCCACGAAGGTGCACTCACTGCTCTGGGGACTCCAGCACCGTGGCCATGAATGGGAGAGTGGACTTCCCAAAAAAGAAGCTTGCCCACCAGTGACCCGGGTCGGCTTTGGGGAGACCTGAGAGAAACACAGTGGGGTCAGTGCTGCTGCCCACTCCTGGGGACCCCTCCAGATGGTCCCCACACCAGACAGGAAGTGGACCTACTGCACTCACCCGGGGGGTGGGGGATGGCTTCCCCAGGGCACTCGGCACTTCCGCAGGAGCTGTTACTGGAAGTGGAGCCCAGGCGGCCTGGAGGGGAGAGGTCGGCTTCAGCCTGCGGCCCACCCGCTAGGCAGCCTGGGCTTCTCCAAGGACTGGAGCTGGGGTGGCGGGGGAGCCCAGGCAGACCTATGGGGCAGTGGGCAAGGGGCTTGCTTACGCCGGTAGTAGTCGTGGGTGGCCACGAGCGAGCCGCTGGAGGGGATGGCCGCCATGCTCTTGCTGTGGACTGGTGGAAACCTGCGCACACGGGGGTTCGGAGCCCCTCTGGTAACCCAGTGATCCTCGGGAAGGGTGCTGCCAACCCGGGCGCCGGTTTATGGAGACGGGATGTGGCTCCGAAGCTCCCGGATGGAGGACCGCCTGCTCCCCGCCGGGCGCCGGCAGCTCTAACCAGCCCGAACCGGCCGCGCGGAACAAAGGCGCTTTGTGCGTGGAGCCACCACCTGCGCCTCCGGAGCCGGCAGGCCGCCCGGGGGACACCGAACCCACCCGCTTCCCCGCCCAGGGCCCTTCTCCCGCCCTCGGCCCCGCCCTGTGCGCCTCCAGCCCCGCGCTCCCGCCCCGCCCCGCTCCCCGTTTGCCCTCCCGTCCTTCGGTCCGCCGGTCGACCGGTCCCGCCAGCGTCGCGCACGGGCCGTCCTCACCTCGGCGGCGGCCCCTCGCGGACCTGGGCGCGCGGTCACGGTGGCGGGAACGGGGCGCTAGGCCGGGGAGCCCATTTGCAGAGGAGACGGCGGAGGCCGCACCGCGACCGAGCAGCGCGGACGTGCGCACGCGCGGTCCCCGCTAAGCCTGCGGCTGCGCCGGCGTCCGGGGCGGGCGCAGGCCACGCCCCCGCTCCCCAGGCCTGGCCGGCGGGGCCCAGCCCCGGGGGTCTCAGGCCGCGGGTGGCCTGGGAGCGCGGTTCCCTGCCTCCTTGCGTCCCGTCCCGTCCCGTCCCAGAGCAGGGCCGCCCCCTCATTTGGGCCCTGGCGTTCTCTCGGACCCCTGCCGGCCCCGCCCGTCTCGCCCAGGCCGCCCCGCGGAGGCGGCGGGGCACTGGGAGGTGTTTCTGCTGGCGGTGCACAGCCTGGACCGAGCCCCGCAGGCCCGGCCTCCGCAGTGCCCCTGTCCTCGGTCCTCTCCACTCAGGACTCACCCGCACAGAAGTGGGCCCAGCGGCATCTCCTGCTCCCAGTGCGGGAGCTGGGTGGTACCCAGGGGAGCTGTGCGCCCTGAGCCCTCCAGACATACCCTTCAGAGCTTCACGCCGCTGAAACCCTCCTGAATCCCCTTCGCAGCTCTGCTGGCTCTGGAACCCACACCCCCTCCCCAGCTCCAGCGGCCTCCAGGCTGCTTGTGAGGCCCACGTGGGCATCAAGGGCAGGGCACTGGCAGCAAGGGGTTTATTTGAGTGGCTGGGGTGAAGACCTACTGTTTGGAGATTTCTCCAGTAGATGGAGGCAGTGGCCCCCTGTTTTGAGCGACCCCAGAATATTTTCCCAAGGACTTCCTTTTGAGGGGGCAAGGCGGGGTGAGGGGGCAGGGGGGGGGTGAGAGGGCAGGGCGGGGTGAGGGGGCAAGGGGGGGGTGAGAGGGCAGGGCGGGGTGAGGGGGCAGGACGGGGTGAGGGGGCAGGGTGGGGTGAGGGGGCAGGGCGGGGTGAGAGGGCAGGGCGGGGTGAGGGGGCAGGGCGGGGTGAGAGGGCAGGGTGGGGTGGGTCCAGCTCCCGGTAACTGGACCCTAGGCCTAACCCAACCAATCAGGTCAGCCAAGGTAGCGGACCACCCTCCCTATAAAACCCATTGATATGTTAAGTTCTTCCTCTTTCTCACCATGCCCTCGCTGGTGTAAGTGGGACTGAGCTCAGGCTAATCTGAAATAAATACAGGCTTTCTGCAATTGCATCGGATTCGGCTCCCTGGTATCTTTGGGGTTTATGACACTTGGGCATTACACTTTCTGATGTGGAAGCCAGCCCTCGACCTCCTTCCTCTCAGACTCATGCCCCAGCCTTCCTCTGCAGAGGGGCAGTCAGCAGCTCTGCACGGTTGGCTCTTTGTATGCTGGGCCCTGGCTGGCTGCACAGGTTTCTTCCCCAGCCGTTGGGAGGCTCTCGGGAGGTCTGTGAGGGCTCAGGAGGGTGTGCCGGGAAGATGTCACACCCCCTCTTCCAGGCTCTCCACATCTGCAACACCCTCCGGACCCCTCCAGCATTTCAACTTCCTGTGCAGCAGGCCAGGAAACTGACCCTGAGAGGGCATCCCAGGGTACAGATGCCTTTTCAGGCTGCGTGGGATGGAAGTTGCCGACCTTGTGACTATCTGGTTTGGGCAGCAGTGTGGCCGGGGGACCCTGGGAGGAGGTGCAGTGCCTGTCCCAGGTAATTCTCATCCCTCTCCACCTCTTCCATCTCTCCCCGGGTCCCCACTAAATGGGCTTCTGCTGCTCCATGGGGAAAGGGACAGTCCCAGGGGCTCGCCGGCCACTTGTCCAGCTGGGTCTTCATGAGCTCCTAAGATTCCCTTGCCTCCTGCAGGAGGTGAGCCGGATTGCATGTATGGACTGGGACAATGACCCCACAGGAGAGGCACGTGCCACCCACCAGTTGCCCACAGAGCACTGTAGCCCCAAGCCCCACCTCACAGCTGACCACCTTCTCTCAGTCATTGATTCTCAGTGCCTCTGGATTGAGACCCATAGTCACATCCTGGCCAGCGTTTGCCCCTTCAACGGCTTAATTCTGGATCATAAACTTAAGTGCAAATAAAATTTAAGTTTTAAAAGACATCTTCTCTCCCCCTAGGCGGTATGGCTCAGTGGAAAGAGCGTTGGCCTGCGGACTGATTCAATTTCGGTCAAGGGCATGTACCTTGGTTGTGGGCACAACCCCAGTAGGGGGTGTGCAGGAGGCAGCTGATCAATGTTTTTTTTTCTCATTGATGTTTCTCTCTATCCCTCTCTCTTCCTCTGTTAAAAATCAATAAAATATATATATTTAAAAAAAAAATAAAATAAAAGACATCTTCTCCTTCCCCTCCCACTCACCAAATTGTGAGCCTGGTAGTGGTTAGATGCACCAAAGCCCCACTCCGGGAGCCCATGCTGGCCTAGCGGGAGCAGCTCTTCCCTCTGGCCTCTGCTCTGCTGCAGGTCGCTGTCTGTCCTGGGATGGACCTAACTGGCCGAGGCCCCTGCATCTGCCCCCGTAGGCCCCCATAGGCAGGAGGGCTTCTGCAGCTCTTATTTGGGGCTGGAGGCTGGTTCTGGCCTTGCTGCTGTGGTGTTTTGTTTTTTTCAGTTATCACCTGAGGATATTTTTCCATTGATTTTCAGTGAGAGTGGAAGGGAGGGGGAGAGACAGAGCGAGAGAAAGAAACAATAATGTAAGAGCAACACATTAATTGGTTGCCTTCTGACCAGAGCCAGGAATTAAGCTGCGACGTTGTACATGCCGTTGATCACAATCAAACCGGGACCCTTCAATCAGTGGGCTGATGCTCTATCCGCTGAACCAAATAGGCCAGGACACTGCTATGGTTTTTGGGCCAATACACATTTATATATATATATATATATATATATATATATATATAAATCTTTATTGTTCATGCTATTACAAATGTTCCTCATTTTCCCGCCCTCCATTGTTCTCCTCCACCAGGTCCCACCCCACCTTCTGCCCTTTCCCCACCCCCCATTGTCCTCATCCATAGGTGCACAATTTATGTTCAGTCTCTTCCCGCACTCCCCACTCATCTTTTCCCCGAGAATTGTCAGTTCACTCCCCTTCCATACCTCTGATTCTATTATATTCACCAGTTAATATTGTTCACCAGAGTTTTTTAATTCCCTTGGTTTTTAGATTCACTTGTTGATAGTTACGTATTTGTTGTTCATATTTTTTTTCTTTATTTTCTTTCTCTTCCTAGAGAACCCCCTTCAGCAATTCATGTAATTCTGGTTTGGCGGTGATGAACTCTTTTAGCTTTTTTTTATTTGTGAAGCTCTTTATCTGGCCTTGGATTCTGAGTGATAGCTTTGCTGGGTAGAGTATTTTTGGCTGTAGGTTCTTGCTGTTCATCACCTTGAATATTTCTTTTTTTTAAATCAATCTTTATTGTTCATATTGTTACAAAGGTTCCTCATTTCTTCCCCCCTCCACCAGGTTCCCACCCCACCCTCGCCCCCTCCCCATCCCCCATTGTCCTCATCCATAGGTGCAGTTTATGTTCAGTCTCTTCCTCCCTCCCTTTCCCCAATAGTAAATCCCTTTTCAGATAGTAAATCAGTTACTTAGCATTTTCTCATATCAATAATACCACCACATGCCCAATGATACATTTCACACAAAAGACATTTCCAAATAGGTCAACCAGCCTCATCCAGGCCCCACCCAAGGCACTCACAGGTCAACACCCCAGCCCTATACTAACTCAACACATCCAGATCTAAGCCTTCATCACTTGATTCAGCAGACCCTCAAGTTCCCGCAAAAGTTTCTAGCCATGTCTGAGAGGCAGCCGTGGGGCAGGGGCAGGCGAGAAGCGAGCTGTTCCGGGCCTGGCTGCTCCGGGCCTGGCCTCTGTTGCTCTGGTTCGTTCCACAACCAGCTGCTCTGGGTCTGGTCACCGCTGCTCCTGACCTAGTTGCTCTGGACCTGGCTGCTGCTGCTCCAGGACTGGCTGCACCCGATCCGGCTGCTCTGGGCCTGGCCGCTCCCAGCCTGGCAGCCGCTGTTCCAGGCCTGGCCACACCAGACCCGGCTGCTCCGGGCCCGGCCGCTCCCAGCCTGGCAGCCGCTGCTCCTGGCCTGGCCACAGCAGACCCGGCTGCTCCGGGCCCGGCCGCTCCCAGCCTGGCAGCCGCTGCTCCTGGCCTGGCCACAGCAGACCCGGCTGCTCCGGGCCCGGCCGCTCCCAGCCTGGCAGCCGCTGCTTTGGGCCTGGCCGCACCAGACCAGGCTGCTCTGGGCCTGGCCGCACCAGACCCGGCTGCTCTGGGCCCGGCTGCCCCGGGCCTGGCTGCTCCGAGTCTGGCCGCTCCCAGCCTGGATGCTCCGGGCTTGGCAACTGCTGTTCTGGGTCTGGCTGCTCCCAACCCGGCTGCTCTGGGCCCGGCTTCTCCGGGCCCGGCCACTCCGGGTCTGGGTGTTCCTGGACTGGCCTCCCTGGGCTTGGCTGCCTCTGCCTCAGGCCTGGCTGCCACTGCCCAAGGTCTGGCTGCTCCAGTGCTGGCTGTTGTTGCTCTGGTTCTGGCTGCTGCTGCTCTGGGGCCTGGCCGTTGCTGCTCCGGGCCTGGTTGCCATTGCTTTGTGCCTGGGCACTCTAGGCCTGGCCACCACTATTCCAACATTCTGTCCTTTTTTTTTTTTTTTTTTTTTTTTTTTTTTTTTTTAACGCATTTATGTTGCAATGTTGGCTGGTGAGTTGAGTTCTGACTTAGTCTTTGATTTTTCAAGATCTTCTTTGTATTCTTTCTTAAGTAATTTTACTATCTTTTGCTCTCACTTGATTTCTTCACATTGAGAACTTTGGTTTCTTCCTCCTTGTCCTGGGAGCTCAGCAGGTTGGCCTGTGGCACCCCTTTGTTCTCCGCGGGCTACCGCGCTGCTCCAGCCTGTTGCCGGAGTCGGCGCTGCCCAGGAAGCAGGCCCCGGCCTTGGCTCTGTTGCCCGCGCTCAGAGGTCAATGGCTCAGGGGCACCCCCCCTCCCTGGGGGCCCCGTCGCCCGGCTCCCTGCCGGCGCCCGGCTGGCTGGTGTCTGGCAGGGGCTCCTGCTCCCTGTCGCATTCCTCCAGT